TAAAAATATTAGAAATTATTTATTATTAAATATATTTTTTATATTAAACATATTTTTTGAAAAATATAAAAAGGTTAGAAATTGGTCAATCATTAAAAAATATAATTAAGAAACAAAGCATATATATATATACGAATGTTTATTATTATTACTACGCGGATAGTCTATTAATAGTTTTAGATTAAATTTTAGATTAAATTATTAAATTAATTATTAAATTAATAATTTTAAATTAAATTTTTATGTTTATATTTCTTGCTCTTTATATTTTTATTTTCTCACGTTTCACTCATACTTCTAACGTCTCTCTTCAGCAGTGTCTCGAGAGATCGACGGGAACTCAGGAAGAGGGAGTGCCCGCGTCTCTTCCGCCGTGTCTCGTGACCTCGGGCCCGCCGCCGGCTTACGAGAGCCTCATCTTCGACCCTCGGGCACTGCCCTCGCCAACGGACAAGAAAGACGAGTCTGACGATCCCGGTAGCATTATCTCGCCCCCGATGAACAGCCTACCCAGCGAATCGGAGGCCAACAGGATCAACAAGCGAGAAGATGTCCCGAGGGACGATCAGGGTTTGCCTTCCTACGAGGCCGCCCTAAAATTAGAAGCTGACGGCTACGTTTAAGAACCGAATAAGGATCGGAAACTACTTCGAACTACGGATCACGAGTCGTGAAAACTTCCGCCGCCGAGTCATGGATTTCAAGATGAAATACCATGATCGACACATGTGCGACTCTGATTGGCCGTGAATGACGGCTGCCGGCAGCTGAAGTTAATATCGATGTTAGAACATCTGTAAAAGTTGCCATTCCGAACAGCACAGATAGCTAAGATTAGAATCTTAATCAAAAGAAGGGAAGACAAGATGAGAGATAAAATCGTTGAGCTTATTTTCTAGCTCGATTTTTCATTCAAAATAAAATATTAAAAATAATTAATTCAAGAATAAGATGCAAGAGAAATTTTCAGCGCTTTTTTGGAAAATGCTGAGAGAAATTATTTATCTCTATGCTCTTGATTTAAAATATATAAAAATACAGAATAATCTCAATCCAAGGGATAAAAAAAGGAAAATAAGTAGCGAGATTTATTTTTGGAATCTAGTTATGAACGGAACATATATATATATAGAGGGAATTTTATATTAAGAACATTCTAAAAATTAAAATATTATTTTTTTCTCGTCGATTGAAGGATTTTTTAATAATTCTTAACTAAAAGTAAAATGACAAATTGCAAACGATAAGTGCCTGAATTCGTTCTTTTTCGGAACGTTCGTAAATTAAAGACAAGATAAAAGAAAAGCGTTGAAGTGAGATAATTTTTCAAAAAGTATGTATTGTTCATTTCTTGTCTAACAATAAGCGAAACGTAAATCGATAAAATATAATAAGAAAAAATTTTCGTAAAATATAATATCTCGGCTTTTCTATTTTTCGATGATCTCTATGATTAAATATGTCGATAATATTTTAAATGTGGAGGATGTGTATCGTAGAAAAATGCATATATTCAATTTTAAATGTAGAATACGCCGGAAAAGAATATAGACAAGCGCGCAAGCTATAAGTCACAGTATATATATATATATATGAAAACGGTACGTATATAAATTATGTAGGCAGGCAGCGAAGGGAAAGACCTAATTTCACAGGTAATTACATTTTATATAGGAGAAGAATTCTTAACGGCATATTTTTCCCGTCGGTCATTAGTTTAAGAGAACAAGAGAGAACGTATACACAAACGCGGCACCGTTAGCTTAGTATTTCCGTATGAATAAACAATACGCATCGCGATAACGTAAATGATATTTCGCAAAATGGTGTATGACATATCGCCTAGTTTATCTGTGCATTTCTCTGGGAGACTGTTTCAAAACCGTACGATTTCACATATAACCTTCCTTTGTATGATAAGTGAATAAAGTGTAAATAAAGGGCTGCGCATTATGTACATTCAATATGCATTTTCAAGCGTGCTGCGGCACAACAATCGCAATGATAATTTATTATTATGTTGACAGCACAAATATTATGCACTAAGCATCAGCGATAAAAATGTGCCTATGACGAACGAAATTATGCCGATTCGATTCATTTACATTAATATAATACATTATATAATACATAATATATTATATTAATATATTTCTGTCTCCCAATTACAATTACAACAATAATTATCGCAATTGCCGTTAAAGGACGCCGATATAATAATAATCTTGTGTAAATAATAATAATAATCTCGTTACATTTCTCTCGCTTTGTATATATTTAAACAGTCGAATCGTGAGATTATTTCATTGGGCTTACTTTATTGCGACAGCAATTAGTCGCAGACAGATTCCCAAGAGAGAACAAGGTTATCGATGATAACCTTGATATCCAGAGAAAAAAATTTGTTTGCTTGAAAAGCCACTTTATCGAATGAAATGCGTGTTTTAGCGAACTGGCTAGCTGCGATAAAATGTGATGCTTTTGCTAAGAGCTACTTTATTTAAGGAGCACGATACAACAACGTGAAAATTATGCAGTAAAAGCCTTAATTGAGTGGACGAGTGATCCATTAGCGTTCGCCATTATTCATTAAATTTGTTTTCTGTGTCAGCAATATTATTTATGTATATTGCCATTAAAAATATATGGTTTAAAGAAGAACGATCGCAAATGGCTCCAATCGGTGTTAATCGTTCAAATCATTATCGATGTAATTTTAAAATAATTTCCCGTTGCATTCTACAAAATATGCATGTTAATATTATATAAAGAATGAGAATCCCGGGAATCCACTTATTTCCAATCTCTTGTACACTGCAAAATTAATCAGTGTCTAACCTACATTTTTGCCAAGAGAAAATCATAATGCATCCCAATTGATTGGAAAATCTGTCGTTAAAAATTAATGCGAGAGAAAAGTAGGACATCTTATATACATCATAACATGTTTATATGATGTCATTTCTCGATTGTAGGAAATTGACTGATGTGCGCGATGAGATTGCGATAAGGGAATAACACAATGCATCATACATGCATATCCGACGATAAATACGGGTAAAATACCACGATATCGACGAAGCGTCGCAAACTATAATTCAACAATGATTGCACTATGTCAATGAGGATAAATCTAAGAGCGTAGTTACGTGCACGCTATCACATGATCGGTGTGATTCATTAGGCGCACGCGTGCAGGAAAAATGATTGGTACATACATGCAAGTGTTACAAATACACATTTGCCCGAATAGAAACAGCTCATATTACCAAAATAAAACAAAGCTTAGCATATTTCCTCCTTAAATGACTCAATAATTCAAATTTTTCATATAGAGCTATAAATAAAACACGACATCAACTTGTTTCCTTTTGTTATTTAATAAATAATTCATAAATATTTCGTAAATAGATACAAACTGAAAAAATTAGATTAGTATTGATTTATTATTTTAATTTAATAACAAAATATATATTTTGAAGTATTAAAATTTATCTTTTATATTATATATCTTTTAATAATTAATTGGCCAAAAGATAAAAATCGTAAAATTAATTACACTAAAAAAAAAAAAACAAAGTGTGCGAAAGAGAATCAAGTACAATGCAGGAGGAAAGAATAAAATAACGCGCGTGTATCTTTTAAAATCAACGGCAAAACGGCATCGAGACGACATAAAATCATACACCGTGACGCGGATAATTATAGAAAAGTGCAAATTACGATTTACCCGCGCGTTATTTCGCCGACGTATATTTTTGCCGCAAAATAACCACTTCGTCATCGTACGTAGTATAATATCCGACCTAAAATCAATATTACGTCACAGCGCTTACGATTGCGCGTAACCAGTATCCTCTCATCACTTTACGAGAAATGAAACCAAACTGAAAATATAATAATTTTCACTCCGCAGCCTGTGATTGCGGGGATTCTGCGGCAAAATCCCGAGACTCCCGTAACGAGTTCGCATGGAAATATCTAATTGCTAGCGATACTACGCGAACGTTCCGCGTGCGATTCGCCTCGGATATGTCGTAATTAGATTAGATTTACACTGAATAACCCGTGTTTAAATTTCCCAACGGTGTAACGCAGAACTGTGCCACTTGCTCCGTTATCAATTTAACTAGTCGCACGACAGCATATACAGCTTCCACAGATAAGCCGGTATGTATTATAAATGATACTCTTCTAGAATGCATATACTGCTGCTGTGTGTAAAAGATATAGCAGAAAGAAAGATAAATATTTGTAATACAATGCGATAACGTTATGGCAATAACTTAATTGTATTTTAAAAAGCAAGAAATTATATAAGCATTAAGTCAATAATATATAAACTAGAGATTGGAAATATATATATTAAACAAAAAAAAAATATCCAAATAATGCATATCAAATATTAATTCAAAGAGCCCGTTAAAATTGGAAGCAATTTTGGAACAAAAAAATTTTAAGTCTCTTCAATTTTTCCAAAAATTTAATAATTAAAAGAGATATTTAAAAATTTTTCAATGTTTGCAATTTTAACTATTGCATTTGATAAAAATTATATAAAGACAAAGATAAATTGTTAAATAAAATAAATGGTGCGCATATAGAGCTGTAAATAAATTTACCGGTAGAACGATTGCGGAGAGAATTTATTTTTCTCTCTGGGCTTTATAAAATACATTGTCGGGCAATTTTCCTTCATAGCTCTTCATTAGGTTTCAATCAGCCATTAAATGTATCGGTATTGCTTGAATACGCGTGTACGTTCACATGCATTATTCAACGATAGTTCGGCAATTGTCCCAACAAAAATAGAATAATCCGTTTCGTGCAGCATCACAATGTATGTATACATACATATTGTATGTACGTATTGTATGTACGTATTGTATGTACATATCCGTGGGGCTTTAGATATATGGAAAGATAACAGAATCGACGAACATAAAATGATTATCCGTATAAGAGATAATGGGATACGGGGGTAGGCTCATAAGCATCAATAACGCGATTTATGTCATCGCTCTCAATTAAAGCGACCTTTACTTTCATGCGTCTGGATCGGCGGTGACGACCGTGATGTTCGCTGACGAACAATCCGCGCTTGTTAACCGTGCACAAAATGTCAAAATTGCGAAACAATAAACGTCAAAATGTCAACAAACGAAAATTTTAATTATTGAAATAAAATTACTTGTTTCATATGCAACGACTGTATAATTTTAAGTTTTGTTTGATGTTTATAACTGCTGCATTTTCTTATGCAAAATACGACAAAACTTGTCGAAAATATCATTAAATGTACAAACGTATAAACAGCGTTTATTTAATATTTAATATTTCCCCATAAAAGAGCACACATTTTATCTTCTAAAATTTTTTATCTGCCTAAGCTTATAATAATTAATAAATATCGCGGACAGAGAGACAAAGCTCTATGCAAAAATTGAGAAACCTCCCGCAATAACATTAATATTGATCAATAAACATCACTTGTGTGGGTGCAAATAATAAGGTAAAATCATAATTATCACAAGTTATAATAGATAAGAGATTTTTACATGGCATACATTGTAAGTAAAGATGACATAATTTTCTTCGTAAATACAGGTAATATCTATCACATGAAGCTGATATTACTCGGATCGATTTTTACAAGTACACAGTATCCATGTCACGAGCCGAATTGTTTCAATGACCGTCAGCGCTGCTACGATAAACGATACGCGTGATAAGTACCGTACGACACGTTACTATATGCCAGTATATGCCATGTACAAATGTATGTGTGGGTGTGTATGGGTATGTGGGTGTGTGTGTGTTATCATTTTTGCCAATGATATTAATTCATGACGATAAGATAGAACATATTAAAGTAATGCGATCCAATACTATAATTTAATATGATTATATATCCAATGCTATTATTTAATATGATAATACAATATGTATAGTTTTTGGTGATATATTTTGCTTGCGCAAAAATACGCAGCAAAATGAGGAAATCTACAGGATTTGCATAATACAATACAAATAATAAATAATGAAAAA